TCGGCGTACAAGGACTCGCTGCTTCGCGTCCGTGATGCCGCGCACACGAAGGAGGACGTTCAGCTGTGGCAGTCCCACGACTTGACCAGCCCTTCGTGCGCGCTGACGCCGTCTGAGCGCGTGGCATTCGAAAAGGAGCGCATCCACATGTTTTGCGAGAATCGCAAAGCCGGCCTGTTCAACGGCCAGCGCTTAGGCGAGCACGCAGCCGAGCAAGGTCGCGGCCACATCCTTAGAGTTTGGTCCGTGGAGAGCTCGGAGATGACGGAGCGGCACAAGTGCGAGCACTACGGCCAGCTTCGCCGCGTGCTGCATCTGGCACAGGGGGCACACGTAATGCTAGTCTTGAACTTAAGAACTTGTTGGAACTTAGTCAATGGCTTAAGAGGGACAGTGGTGGCAGTCCTCCTAGAGCCTCAGCAGTCAGAGTCAGCTGCGTCGCTTGGCGTTTCGGCCGGCGCTGCGCGCAGAAAAGAGCGTGCTTCGGAAACAGGCGGCTTGTCCGCACGCCAGGTAGAATACGTAGTGGTGGACTTCCCCGGGTACATCGGCCCCGAGATGATACCCGGGCAGCCAACTTGGGTGCAGTACCCGGCCTTGAGCCGCACGCAGTTTCCCATCGTGCTGGCGTACGGGATCACCGTACACAAGAGTCAAGGCCTGACTCTGCGCGATGGCTGCGTGTTCAACGTAGACCACGAGCCGACGTGGTCGCCGCTCAAGTGCCTTGGCCTGGCGTTTGTCGGCATGTCCAGAGCCACGGACTTTGCGCGCATGGCCTTCAAATACGTGCCAGACTACTGGGCCTTCCGCGCCGTGGCCGACACCGACTTGTTTCGTTGGCGAGCAGAGCTAGAGAAGCGGCTGGACGCGCTGCACGATGCCACAGCCAGTGGCATGTTTGGAGGCGCCGTGTCCGTAGAAGACGACCTCGCCCGCCACGTGGCATGGTCGGAGAGCCGGCGGCAAGTTCCCATGACCGCTGCAGAGGTCGAGGACTTGCGGCAAATGCTGTCTCTGCGCGGAATGCTGAGCGCCCCGCACTACGACGACAAGCCGACAAAGCTTCCCGCCTCGAAGCTCGGCGGCGGCCGCAAGCGCCGCAAGACCATGCGGGCAATGTCCGCGGCCGAGTACACGGCAGACCCGGAAGAAGGCCGCCAGGCCTACGAGGATGAAGAAGACCTCGTGCAAAAGTACGGGGACTTGTCCATGCCTGATGAGCTACCGGACTCCGAGCCGGAGTTTTTCGGAGAAAAGTTTTTGGAGGAGCAGTGTTCCGACGGCGACTACGAGTAAGGGGCCGCTGCAGGCCATAGGTGGCTTACTTGCACGTCTTTCGGCAGGCTGCAAGCCACAGGAGCGCGCGCAGACAGCGGCCGCTGCGCTTGCTGTTTCGAGCGGCGCACGGCCTTCACCTCTACAAAGCAGCCTTGTTGCCACGCGTGACATAGCGCAAAGCTGCAAGACACAGGAGGTTGCTTGTGTGTTCTCCTTTCTCCTTTGAGCAAGCTGCGCCCTCCTTGAGCATCCTTTTGTGTAGCCAGCACTGCTGGCCGCTGCGCTTGCTGTTTCGAGCGGCGCGCGGCCTTTACCTTGACAAAGCAGCCCTATTGTTGCCGCGGTCATTACGCATGTTTGTCGTGGTTAGTGTGGTCCCCTTTTCGTAGCGGCGGCAGGCGCGCGCACCGGTGAGGGCTGTGGGCGGGCGCCGGTGCCGCGCGGCCGACCGGCGTTTCAGGTCCCTTTGTTTGCTGTCACTGGTTAGATTGTTTCGATTCGTAATGGCCGCTGCAACAACAGGGCGGACGCCGCGCGAGTCCGTGAAAACGACCGAGGGGGGAACACGACTGGCAGGGATGACGGGAACGCACGCGCGAGAATGACTCAATAAGGCTGAGGCAGCAAGGGCAGGGGAGCCGTTGTTTTTCCTTCAGATGTTTAGGGGCCTCCTATGTTTGAACCACAGCTAGGTTGTATTGCTGTGAGCTCTGTTTTGCTTGCGACGTTCTTTGTGGGACAAGAAAACGCAACGTTCTTTGTGGGACAAGAAAACGCAACAATTGGTTGATTTCTGATGCCAGTGGTCCCATTGAAGTAGGTGGCCAGTTGTTGTACATGTTTCAGAGGGCCTTGTTTCGGAGATTTTGGAGCGAGTTGTCACCGTTTTGCTTCTGCAGCTTTTTGCATCGACGTCCGAATCTGGCTATGTTGCTTCCAAGAAAACTGTCGCGCTGCGAGCGTGCCGTTTGGGGCCGCGCGCAAGAGCGCGAAGCCGAGCTAGCGTGCCGTTTCTAGGGGCCTCCTATGTTTGAACCACAGCTAGGTTGTACTGCTGTGAGCTCTGTTTTTCTTGCAACGTTCTTTGTGGGACAAGAAAACGCAGCAATTGGTTGATTTCTGATGCCAGTGATCCCATTGAAGTAGGTGGCCAGTTGTTGTACATGTTTCAGAGGGCCCTGTTTCGGAGATTTTGGAGCGAGTTGTCACCGTTTTGCTTCTGCAGCTTTTTACATTGACGTCCGAATCTGGCTATGTTGCTTCCAAGAAAACTGTCGCGCTGCGAGCGCGCCGTTTCGGGCCGCGCGCAAGAGCGCGAAGCCGAGCTAGCGTGCCGTTTCGGGCCGCGGGCAGCGGGCGTGCCGTTTCGGGCCGCGCGCTAGGAGAAGAAAAGCAAAAGTTCCCGTGCGGCGGGGAAAAACTGCTGGGCATAAAGTTAAGTGGGCGGAGCGCGTGGGGCCAGCCAGGGAAAAACTATCGCGCTGCGAGCGTGCCGTTTCGGGCCGCGGGCAGCACGCGTGCCGTTTCGGGCCGTGCGCTAGGATAAGAAAAACAAAAGTTCCCGTGCGGCGGGGAAAAAACTGCTGGGCCTAAAGTTAAGTGGGCGGAGCGCGTGGGGCCAGCCGGGGAAAAACTATCGCGCTGCGAGCGTGCCGTTTCGGGCCGCGCGCAAGAACGCGGCGCCGAGCTAGCGTGCCGTGTCAGCGGGCGTGCCGTTTCGGGCCGCGCGCTAAGAAAAAAAAGTTCCCGTGCGGCGGGGAAAAAAACTGCTGGTTTAAAGTTAAGTGGGCGGAGCGTGTGGGGCCAGCCGGGGAAAAACTATCGCGCTGCGCGCGTGCCGTGTCGGGCCGCGCGCAAGAGCGCGAAGCCGAGCTAGCGTGCCGTTTCGGGCCGCGGGCAGCGGGCGTGCCGTTTCGGGCCGCGCGCTAGGACACAAAACGCCAAAAGTATCAAAGCAGCATAAAGAAACATATAGGGTGAAAAGTCCAGTGAGCAAGGCCGCGCGCAGCGGGCGTGCCATTTCGGGCCGCGCGCTAGGGTAAGAAAAACAAAAGTTTCCGCGCGGCCGGGAAAAACTATTGGGCATAAAGTTAAGTGGGCGGAGCGCGCAGGGCCAGCCGGGGAAAAACTATCGCGCTGCGAGTGTGCCGTGTCGGGCCGCGCGCTAGGATACAATACGCCAAAAGTATCAAAGCAGCGTAAAGAAAAATATAGGGTGAAAAGTCCGGTGGGCAAGGCCGCGCGCAGCGAGCGTGCCGTTTCGGGCCGCGCGCTAGGATAAGAAAAACAATTGTCTCCGCGCGGCAGGGAAAAACTATTGGGCACAAAGTCAAGTCGGCGGAGCGCGTGAGGCCAGCCAGGAAAAACTATCGCGCTGCGAGCGTGCCGTTTCGGGCCGCGTGCTAGAGCGCGAAGCCGAGCGAGCGTGCCGTTTCGGGCCGCGGGCAGCGAGCGTGCCGTGTCGGGCCGCGCGCTAGGATACAAACCGCCAAAAGTATCCAAGCAGCACAAAGTTAAAAAACATATAGGGTATAAAGTTCAGCGGGCAAGGCCGCGCGCAGCGAGCGTGCCGTTTCGGGCCGTGCGCTAGGATAAAAACACTGGAAGTTTCCGCGCAGTAAGAAAAAACTATAGGGTTATGCGCGTAGGGCCATAAATGAAAGAAGAAGGGGCAGGCTTTCCGTTTCGGGCCGCGTGTGGCGGACACGAGCAGGCGTGCTATTTCGAGCCGCGCGCAGTGAGCGTGCTGCTTCGGGCCGTGCGCTATAGACACAAAGAAAATGTCTCGTGCTGCTTTGTGCCGCTTCGCAGGAAAAAATCACGCACGTTTGGCACGCCGCGTGACGCCGAGGCCATATAGAGATCAAAGCCGCGCGGGCGTGCCGTTTCGGGCCGCGCGCGCAGCGACCAAGCACTGTCCAAGGAGTAAGAAACGCGAGCGGAAAGCCGAGAAGGTTTGACTTATGTTTTGCTGGCTCGTGGCAAGAAAAAACCATGGCAATGACTCCGTTGACTAAGGTTGCCAGAGTAAAGGAGGCTTTGACCTCGCCCAGATTTCGCGCTTGACGCGCGCGCCGTTTCGGGCCGCGTGTTCGTGTCGGCACGTGCCGTGTCGGGCCGCGTGCTCGCACAGACTGCCGCACCGGCGGAGCAGACGAAGAGAAAAGCGCAGCTTTCGTGCTTGACACGCGTGCCGTTTCCGGCCGCGTGTTCGTGCCAGCCCAGACTACAGCACAGCTTGAGCAGATGCAAAGAAAAGGCGCTCTCGGGGGGGAGAGAGGAAGGGTCGAACTTGAAGCGCTCGTTGTTTTTTTTGGCTTTGGCGCACTGGGATGAGAGCTGTGGAAAAGGAAAAGAAAAACAACTGAAAACAGCACACAAGACCGAGAGAGAGAGAGAGAGAGAGAAAGAGAGAGAGAGAGAGAGAGAGAGAGAGAGAGAGAGAGAGAGAGAGAAGCAAGGGGCCAAGGACAGTTCTCCAAACTATAGTTGTTCACTGCTTTGAAACTTCCGCCCCCCGGCTCTGCCGGACCTTACTGGTAAAATGGATGTGCAGTCTGATCGTGACGTTGCAAGAGTACCTCTTACCAGTTGCCAGACCAAGAAGTCAAGATATACTTCCTTGCGTGTCCCCAGCTTTCATCGCCCCAAAGGAACCAGCTCTTGGCTTGGCATATGCTTCAATCAAACATAGGACCCCTCCAATCCCGTCAAGACTCGAACTGGGCAACGCCACACGAGTTCTCATTCCAGGCAGTTCAGCCAGCGCAAACAGAAGCTACCCAGGCCCTCTGTCAATCTGCTGGTAAGCAGCGCGAGCCAAAAGCGGGGATGGCAAGCGCCGAAGAATTACCAGTGTGGCAAACGGGGGCACACAGCGCTCCCAATTGGTGACTATTGGCGTGAAAGGGGCACTGGTTACATCACTGGATGCACAAACGCAAATCAAGCCATTGATCCACAATTGAAACACACTCATGATGGGCGTACAAGCTCGCTACTTCTGCGCTACAATTCTGAACTTTTGCAAAGCAATGCTCGCTCAAAGCAAACAACAACATGTGGGTGTGTGTGTGTGTGTGTGTGTGGGTGTGGGTGTGGGTGTGGGTGTGGGTGTGGGTGTGGGTGTGGGTGTGGGTGTGGGTGTGGGTGTGGGTGTGGGGTGTGGGTGTGGGTGTGGGTGTGGGTGTGGGTGTGGGTGTGGGTGTGGGTGTGGGTGTGGGTGTGGGTGTGGGTGTGGGTGTGGGTGTGGGTGTGGGTGTGGGTGTGGGTGTGGGTGTGGGTGGTGTGGGTGTGGGTGTGGGTGTGGGTGTGGGTGTGGGTGTGGGTGTGCGTGTGGGTGTGGGTGTGGGTGTGGGTGTGGTGTGTGGTGTGTGTGGTGTGGGTGTGGGTGTGGGTGTGGGTGTGGGTGTGGGTGTGGGTGTGGGTGTGGTGTGTGGGTGTGTGGTGTGGGTGTGTGGTGTGTGTGTGTGTGTGTGTGTGTGTGTGTGTGTGTGGTGTGTGTGTGTGTGTGTGTGTGTGTGTGTGTGTGTGTGTGTGTGTGTGTGTGTGTGTGTGTGTGTGTGTGTGTGTGTGTGTGTGTGTGTGTTTGTACGAGCGCGCTCGTAAAAGGAACACCAGCAGGGCAATTGCATTTGCGGGTCCCCCCAGCAGGCGATAGCTCAACCAGGAAATACAAATTATAGCTGCTAAGCAAAGGGGTTATAGGGACGCGCATGGGGCGCAAAATAGGCAGGCCTCGAGTGAGCGAAGAGAAACTCTAGAAAGGATGGGCCTATCAATCAGCTCCCTCCCAGCTGTGGGTTTGGATTGGCTTGGTGGTGAAACGGAGCGGTTTCCCATTTACCCTCTGCGTCCCTCTACAAAAACCAGGGGTTCAAATCCTCAAGCACCAACGAAGGATTGCCTGAATCGATGTTTCACAGGCCTCGGAAAAGGTGAAAACACATGAAATGGCTCCAGAACCCGGACTTGCTCATGTGATGGTGGCAAAAACACACACGCACACACGGCAATATTGCTTGTCTCCACTGGTCATGGGCTTTGCTTGCGGGTAAAACTGTCACTCTCCTCTTGTTGCCGCTCGCAGGCTCAAAAGGGCAAAATGTCCCACTCGACCAGAAAACCCGGAAGACGCTTGAAGAATTGCACCGCGTTGTTCTGAACATTCTGGGCCCTTAGTCAGAATTCTGCCTCAGCCCTGGGCATGGTTCGTCAAGGTGTGATCAAGGCGGGCAGCTGCAAAGACTTGACGCAGTGGAAATGCCGATCTCGGGCATGTCACAGGTTTCTTCACACGTTGCTGGAAAGGCAAAGGCTTGTATCAGCTTGCGACTGGTTTTTCCGAGAGACCATGGAATTCTTCACCGAGTCACGCCACTGCCCTAGTGAACCACTGCTGCTAACAGCTCGGACAGCGACTTGGGGCATGCAGCGGGCGATTTTGGGCGTTACGTGTGACAAAGCCAAAGCGACTGCGTCTGTGTCCGCGGCGCCACCCCTCAAAACGGCGGGAGCGGAAGCCATACGAAGCAACAGGCATGGGAAATTGAAAGCTCATCAGGGTAAACAGCTTGATCCGGCATTGCCAGGGCAACACAAGTGAAAACCTGACCTGCGGCGTCCACGCTGCAAACCAACCTGATCTGACACACTGTTTAGGGGATCCCCCCAAAATTGATTTTGGTTTTCCTTTTGGTTTTCCTTTTAAACCATCCAAAAGGGGTGGGGGGGCTCATGACCATCCGCTGTTCATGTGTCGCTGGCGACTTTTACTCCCGGCAGCTCAGCTCGAAGGCACCGCAGGGCCGCCTCATCGCATGCGATCCATCTGGGGACTCGTTCAAATCTGCACGTAGTGAAGGGGGTTCTAGCCCCAAAATTAAGGCAATCCCTTTAAATTAAAATAAGGTAATCCCAAATTAGAATTATAGCCTGAAACTGGGATGAAATCCAATTTTTAATAGGTAGTTTGAGGGTGCAGGTATATGGAAGGAGGGTAGAAAAGGAGACCGATCACCAGGACCCCTATTCGGACCTCTGTTGTCTGCCTGAATACCCGTTTTTGTGGGTGAAAGGCAGAAACCAAAAAGACCCTTTGAGGGTCCAGGTACTTGCGTTGTTTTTTGCTGTGAACGTGACTAACCTGGCTTTAACCCGTACCCCAGCTCCCCATTCGACTGACTGCACCTGCTTTCAGGAAACTCAGGCCAAAATGGTCATCGTTTTTCCCGGGATCAGACCGGAGCTCCAAGTGAATCTCCGGGATCGCTGGACCAACCCTGAGGACCTTCCTGGCTTTCTGTGGCCTGAAGTTCTTCGAGGAAGGTGCCGCGGACAAGGACATCGGATGCCCGGCGATGCTGGCTCGGGCTTTCTTGCCGTCGGAAGGGTATGTTTAGACACCGAAGAGTCAAACAAAGGCTCGGGATTTTGTTGCTTCGGAAGGTGATGTTTGGACACCTAAGCGTCAAATAAGGCTCGGCAGCTATCTTCTTTGGGCTTGGGGTTTCTGGAAAGGGAACTGAATGGATTTGTTGGAGGGGGCCTTATTTAGCCAATGACACCCCCAGTCCGCAACCAAGGGCAATTGAAAGACCAAAAGGAAAATGGCTGGTTGCCTACTGTTGACCCCGGATGAATAAACCCCTGTTTATTAATATGGGGGTGTCCGATTCTGGCTTTAGTGGGAATCAGACCACTTTTGGAGGGGCCTCCACCCCCATATCAATGAACAGGGGTGTATTAATCCGGGGTCAACATAAGGGCGAACCGCCTGGGATCCACTGGGGCCCCGGTTGGCCGGGGCCCCCGGCGCGTCGCCCGCGTCTTCCGTGTGGGGCGGTAGGGCGGGCCCCGGGCGTTGCGGAGCTCGCGCGGGCCTCGGTGTTTGACTGACCCCGTGTTCACCTTGCCCTTGGTGGTGCGAAATCGGTAGGGAATGAGAACTTGGAATGAACCCAGGCTTTGGTCGGTCCCAGAACAAAGGGAACCACCAGTTGGATGGTTCATAGGGGTCGTTCTTTCATTCCCTACTGAGCACCAGCAAGCTTCTACTTGGTGGATGGTTTGGTGCTGAACTTGTCTTCCGTTTGCTTGATCCCCCTAGAACTAAGATTAAGATTCCCGTAGTGACAGATTACCTTTAAATCAAAAGGAGAGCACAACAAATAGTCTTAAGCAAAGTGGAAGTAGCCAGTTGTGGGTTCCTTTTTTGAGGCTTGCTGAAAGGCTAAAGGCAAACCAAAGGGACAACCGAAATGCATTTTGAAGCTTGCCCTTCGACACAGAATGTTACCAGGTTGACATCCCGAAAAGTAAGCCTTGGGAGGGCCTCCCCCGGCAAAACACCTCGTCTCCGGTTCTCGTTTCTCCAGTCCTCTCTTGGCAAAAAGGGCGGCAATAGGATGCAAGGAAACTGCCTTTGCTCTTATCCCACTGGAGGGTGCCAGGATTGTTAAGGCGATTTGTACTAGGGGGGCCTAGGGAGGTGACCCGGTGTCTGGGCCAGCCTTAGATCTGCAAGAGTCATATCATCTCTCTGGTGAACCCAAAAATACGCAAAAGGTCCAACAAAACAAACACGTCCGCTAAACGTTTGGAGTACACAACCTTAACTAACTCCTCCCTTAAAAACCACGCTAACACACTCCCAAGTCTATGCTCGACGGCATTCAACGTAGGGTAAGTTCAGTCTGGCAATCTGAGACCTTCGGTGCCGAAAAAGAACATGCGCCAGCCAAAGGGCAGTCCCAGGGCGTGTCATCCAGGATGTGGGGTAGCAGCCCACCTGGACAGGCCCAGATCAAACGAGTAAATCCGGCCTTTTGTGGGATCCCGAAATAAGAGGGGACCTGACGCTTCAAGATCTATATTTGCTTGTCGACTGTGCCGTCGCAAAAAGAAACACCCAAGTTCTTCTTGGGTATGACATGTTCATCTGTTTTTGAGGCTCCTGGGAATCCCTGCCAAGTTCATAAACCTTTGTTGCGAACCAGGGATGAATCTCTACGCTGCTCGCATACAAATCCCTACCAGAAGAAATGCTCCCCCCGATCAAACTCAACCAGGAGGTTTGCTTCATCTGGGGTTCCCGTTCGTTTGACCTGTACCCTTGAACCCTCTGAATGGTAATCGCCTGGATGAATCCGGACCGTTCCTCACGGGCTCCCTGGATTTTACGGGGGTTCACATGACTAGTGTCCTCGGGATGAAAACCAAAGTTGCCAATTTGTGTCGACTTGGTGGATGAATAGGTGTGTGGCCCTCTTGGGATCCTCTCTACAACGGGACACCCACAAAGAATTGAAATCGGTGGTTACTAAAGTGTGTTCCCGCACCCAAGAACAAGGGTGTTGGAGAGCAATCTAGTCGGTGGGTTCTCGACAGCTGCAGTGACTTAGGGACCAACAAAGGTAAAGGTTCTTCACCCGAAGAAGAGTTAACCATCAATGGGGTCTTCCACTCGGAACAAGCCACAAATGCATGTCAGGGCGACAAAAGAATCCAACCATGCCCGTCAATGGTCTACTTGCTCAAGCTGACTAAGCTCGTAGTCATGGCTAGTAATTATCACCCTGGTAGCTACTTGGCAAGCTTACAACAGATGTAAATGGCTATAATCATATATAATGCAGATTATGGCTCACTCAAAGAATGGTAGCTTTTTTGCGAATTTGAAACAGGTGTAAATGGGCATGTTTGTAGACCCTCTTTTCTACTAGGATACATACCTATGTAGCTGAGCCCCCAAAACAGGCAAAAATCCTTATTTGGGTAGACCCTAGTGCTAAATAGCCTTTTTGTGTTACCATCAAAGTCACCCTTCAAGGGGTGGGCTTGAAAATAACATTGGGTAGCCTTTGGTGGACAAAATTGAGACAAATGTTTGTCCACCAAGCAGCCATTGCTAGATTCGTGGACCTTGATTCAAAGTCGAATCTTGCCAGTGAAAACCATCAACATCCTGCAGTCAGTTTTTCGGGGAGGCGTGTGGCATGTCTTTGGGGTGCATTGAATTGTTCACCCTGTCAAACTGGGCAATGTTCGACCTGAAGGCTAGAATGAACTTTCAGCAAATCTACTACAATCATCATTTCCGCAAAGGGCAGCAATGTCTCAAATGTTTCCAAACGATGACCCTGCGCAATACAAGAACTCCCGAAACAAATTATTTCCCCTACTCAAAGGGGGGCTCAGAGATTGGTCGGAACCCAATGAAGCTACGCTGACGAGAAAATGGAAGAATTTGGTTCATCTTAGACCTGCAAAAAGTTCACTTTGCGACTTGAAAGCGAAACTGATGGAACACCTTTTGAAGGCAAGCGATGCGTTCAAACAGAGTTTGTCTCTAAGGGGCCCCTCAAAACGGGGTCTCTTAGCCTCAAAACAAAAACGGCCTTCAAACCCGCAACGCGAAAGGGTTGCAGAGGGTGCCGGCACAACTTGCAATCCGGAACAATTGCAAGCGTGCCGGCGCAACCTGCAAACCGAAAGGATTGCAGAGCGCGTTAGCGCAATTTGCAAACGCAACGATTGCAGCGTGAAAGGATTGTACCCCATCCAAACAGAACGGCGGGCTCGCAACCCACCGTTTGTTCGTTGTAGCCCAAAGACCTATACCTTGACACGCAAAAAGTTATACCCTTTTCTCGGCCTGAAAAAAAATGACCAGCCAAAAAGAATGGCTTCCGGGTACACAAGAAAGCCAAAGTTATATACAAAAACAACCACGCGAGCACGCCCAAGTTCTACAAAAGCCGCGAGCGTCTTCTTCCGCCTGCGAACTTGTCCCACAGATCCGTTTCCTCTGGCTCAGACCTTAGCACTCGAAACGATCCGCAGGTCATGGCTCGGAGGTCATTTTTGTCTCGCGACAAAAACCACATAAAAACCATGGGGCAGTATCCTCGCAAAAAAAAGAGAGAAGGAGAAGCGAGCAGGAAGCTCCTTGCAAGTATGTTGACGTTGGGTTCCTTGTGGTGGAAATTCGAAGCAAGCAGGAAGCTCCTTGCAATGATGTTGAAATCGGAGTCCTTGTAAAAGCAAAACAGCGGAACAAAAAACACACAAAAAAAAACATGAAGCTCCTTGCCGGGATGTATACAAATGCTTTTCCACTTCTGCAATCTTAAACATCAAACATCGGAGAGTCCTTTGCTCTCACATGGTCATGGTGCATCCATGTTTTAATGCTGACTGCATATGTTTTGAACCCGGGATGGATGAAACCCGACTTGAGCAGCATGCACGATCTACCTGGTGCAAAGATGCATTTTGTCCATACACATGGCCCACGCTTGGAGCTTTGAGCTGGCACACATGTGCAAACCCCCTAAAACCCTTATTAGTACTCTAGTGGCTCCGCTGCCTTGTTGAGACAATATAAACCATCACAACTGTGGTAGTAGAACCAAAGGTTAAGATGGGGGGGGGGTTCCTCTCCAAAAGTGACGAATCCCCACCAAAAACCGGGGACACCCCCACATTGATAATGGAAGTTTATTCATGCTGGCTTAACATACAGGTCACTCTTCTTGCTAACCGAAAACAAGGGGAATCGAGTTGAACCCCTGCCATATCCGTGACTGTTCTTGGCTGAAGGTCCAGTCGAGCAACCAAACCAATCCAGGGATTCATGCAGGATGTGTACCCAAAACGCTCCCCAAAACACGGAGAACCACATGTACTCCAACACCTGAAATCACGGCTCTCCAAGTCAAAGACCCTCATCTTGGTGACCTCATTCTACCCCGGAATCGGCGAGCTCGCCGTAAAATTGACTCTTCCATGCCGCATGCCCTCCTTTGAAGGGCTGCTCTTCTCAAAGGGAGATCAACATTTCTAGGGCAAATGCGAAAGCCACCCCAACATGGCTTCGGTTTTTGTTCTGGTTTCCCTTTGGCCACAAAAAGCAAAGTACCCAAACCCTTCTTTTCAAACCTGGTAAAATCTGGGTGCACTGGCAAAAAATAATTCAGATCCCAACCCGCGATTCAGATGAACCTCCCCGAGCATTCCATGTCCCTCGTTTCAAAAACCAAAATGTTTTGAAAAGGGGGCACCAGCGCCAAAACAACAAATCCCCGTGTTGCAACAAAAAGAACAGGGACAAACCCGTGTTTCGAACAAATAGTCTTGAAAAAGAAAACATGGTTTTGACACACACAAAAAGAGCGGAACAGCGCAGGGCCGATGTGGTCCCAAAGCTTAGACGCATGAGCTCCTGCGCCGCCTGCTGCGCCTCTGGTGATGCCAGCTGCTCTGCCAGCTCAGCGTCCTCCGTATGGGCCATCAGTGCTGCCTATGGCTAGGCTGGAAAACGCGGACCCCAGCAATTGGTTTTTTGTTTGTGAGTCCACTGGTGAGTGGAAAACAAAGGGACCCCCAAAAAAGCAAAATCATGCTGGACCATTTTTCTTAACCCAGCTGGGTGGTGCCTAGATAGCCAAGTTGCGATCGTTGTTTTCGGTCACTGTTGCTGGCTTTTGGGGCAAAGTGCATGGGAAACAAAACAGCAACTGGCGATTCAGGTGTGCGGTTTTCCCGTTGGTTTAGCTGGGTTAAAACCTGTGCTGTTGAGCCGCTTTCTCTGGAGATGTTCTCAGGGTTGCTCCATTGGGCTAAGAGATGTCTTCCGAAGCGCCACCCAAACAAATTCATACGGGGCCTCTCAACATGGGCTTCGGACTCTCTTTGGGTTAGTATGTTCAGGGAACAAAAGGAAACCAACCATTTTTGGGGACCGAGTCCTATTTGGAGAACCTCCCGAAATGAAATGCGAACATTTGCGAACAAAACTCGTGTTTTGCACTGCTGTCCAAGTGTTGGGGGGGGGGTGTCTAGCTGTAAGTGTCACTGCAGTTTGGCCAAATCAATCAGGTTCCCTTCAATAGTGCACAAAGTGTTCGTGGGAAACACTCTCGTAAATTCCCCTTCTTGGGAATCCCTTTTCAGAAAAAAAGCAAGCCACAAAAAATGTATCAATGGAAAACAAATCAACTTCTAACCGCGCCATTTGCCAAGCAATCCAGTGCTTCAAAAAGGCTTCCCTCCATTTGCTTAAGTCCCCTGGAAATATAACATATTTCCAGTAGTGATAGATTCCCTTTAAAACCGGGTACAGACAACGACAAAGGGACTCAACCCAAGGTGGGGACCGCGGATTGAGCAGGGTTGATTTGATCGTCATCTGGTGGGAATACATCACTTTGGGGAACACCCCCCAATTAATGGGACGGTGACAAAAAAAGATCCCGGGGCCTTTAGACAGCTTCCAGGCGGGCATGCTAATTATCTGGTTTTGGGGAAATCATGATATAAACCTAGACATGGACGACCAACTGGTTGCCTGCTTTCGTCAGGGGGAACCAACAGCCTTCACTCACGAGATCCTTTGAACATCATTAAACCCAACATGGATATCCTGGATTCAAACAAAGCGCCTGCTTTGAAAGCTGCCCAGGGGTTGACAAAAAAACTCCCTCGATCCGTCCTCCACTGGAGCCATGACTTCCACGTTTTCCACGCGCAGGCGCCAGCAGTGAAGCATCAGCCGTGGCGCGTGCGGGAGCTGACGCAATTGGAAGCCGATTCCGAGACACCGCGCTGGGCCGACCCGCGAGAAACAGAAAACAAGCCCCGAAATTCGTTGAGTCGTGGAACACTCGTTTGCTGTACTTGTTGGCCCTGACTTCGACTTCCTGCAGAGCATTGCTCCAAGGCCCCGGATAGAAATTTGGGGCCCTAGAAACCCCGAAAGCTCCGAATGCTTGGCTGGCCACGAAGTTTCTGGAGGAACCAAAGCACAACCTGCAACAGCACGCCGAAGGTTATCCTTCAGCCCTGCCTCAAAATGTATGTTCCGCACAAGATATCACCGTCAAAAGGGAGGGAAGTGTATGTTTCGGTGCCTCTTGGAAGGACTTTTACACCTGGACAAAGTATGTCACCAAGGGCTCCCAATTTCTGGGGAATGTCTTCAAGGAGCTGTCTGGCGCGGAAAAAATCCCCGGAGGCTCGGCTCATGGCTCAAAACTCAGGACGGAAAACTGCGGCGATGGGGAAGATGTCTGTGGGCACACTACTACTCTCAAAGTACCCGCTTTTTTCATTTGGTGTTTTGGGAAAACCTGGCTTTGCATGGTAAATACCTTTTTTTTGCAGATGGTTCTCAAGATGGTAGACCTATCTTTCCATGAAGGACAGCCAACAGGGTTGCAACCTACAAAAGGGGGCGCGCCTGTTTGGAGAAACTCCTAGACTTTCCGACCCCTGCGATATGGTACACAAAACGTCGATTTTTGCAGCCACCCGCTAAAAGATGAAACCTGCCAACAAGAGTAAAGTAAGCCTTACATATTGGCCTATCAGGTTGCTGCCTGCATATCCTTGGCTTGGCCTTTTCATCAGCCCTCCAGACCCCTTCCTGTGGATGGACGAAATCCATTTCGCGCCACCTAAGAAACCCTGGAATTATGACTCCCCAACGTAAATACCAACAACAGTTATGGTTTCAACCACGGTTTCAAAGTGGTGCGCAACGGATCTCGTCCATCCACAGTATCAACGGGGATTGCACAGGGAGCCTAGAAAGGCGGTTTTCCTGCGGGTTTCCTTCCACCCCCCCCCCCTCCCCTCCCCAAAAAGGCTAATCTCAACGGATTTCGTCCATCCAACGTCCGGCTGACCCTGCGAGCAAGCGACATGAAGACGACCGAAGACGACCAGAAAGCCTGCCGCCACTCCTCCAGCCGGCGGTCCGTATTGTGCAGCCTCGGGGGGGTCGGCCCGGAGGCCATGCTTGGCCATGTGGCAAGACTTGACGCCGCATGTGCGCAACACACCCTGGGTAACAAGGGAAACGGGGGAGGAAACCCAGGGCAACAAATGGTGGTTCAAAAGGGAACATGGAGGAAACCCAGAAAAAAGAGAAAAAACAGATGCAACAGAATGCAAAGAAGTTAGGCAAACGTCTGGCAATGGCTCTAGGTTGGTAAGGCCCACCCTGGATTCATAGACCCCTGTTTATTAATATGGGGGTGGCCCCTCCAAAAGTGGTCTGCATCCCCAAATAAAACCAGAATCGGACACCCCCATATGGCTGTGGCTCAAAAAACCGGAATTCCAAAATGGGTTGCCCTGGTAAGTGGAAAAATGAGTACCAAAACCTGCGGAGCCAGCCCCTCCGATCGTTTAATTTTGAGAACCACAGCCATACTAATAAACAGGGGTTGATTGATCCGTCAACATAGCCAAGGCATCCCGGCCGGTCTCCGAGAATGGGGCACCCAGCCTCAGAGCATTGCGACGAACTTCACTTTTGCCCGGGGCGTTGACTTGTTTCAACTGGGACCCCTCCAAAGTCCCTAAAAAGTCGGGTGAATTCCATGTGTTGTTTCTTCTTTTTCTTTTCTTTTTTTTTTTTTTTTTTTTTTTTTTTCGGGGGGGGGGGTTAGTTTGAGCGAATTCCCTTCCAAAAACGGGTTACTGCCCAACGAATGAGTGATTTCCCTTTTGTTCTGAGTAGTTTGGGGGCCCACCACGAGGGTTCAGGCAGGCTTATCTTCCATGCCAACAGGCCAAAAGTGATGGATAGAACCGCACATCAAATTTTCGAAATAAATGTAGACGCCCCTGACCAAGATGGTTAAACAGTTTAGGCCTGACTACTAAACCGGATGTGGGCTGCTCATGTTGGGACGCACCTGCCACCTGTTTCACGCTTCAAGCTTTTCTGCATGACACGCAAGAATGCTGCCTTCACAAAGCCAGAAGGATATACCTGTGGTCAACCCATTTTGTAAGTTGGTGACGGCCTGGTTATAAACCACTTCACCTGCTTTACAGCAACACCCAACCAGCTGAGGGCAATGCCCTCTCCCAGTCTACATGTTTCCCTTTGGCAACGTGCAGCTCGTGGATCTACGCCCAACTTTCCATACACCTGCGCACTGGTCCAAGACCTGAACAAGCAAACAAAACCCTATGCAAGAACAGTCACACTCAGCGGGTGGGAGTTCGGGCGTTGCGAGTATGGGCTACTTAGCATCCCAAGCCTGTTTCCCCCATACTTGGACACCATTCCATTTAGGAGCTTTAAACATGCTTGAAACCATATTAGCCAAATAGAGGGCCAAGCTGAGTTGCTCTTTCCTCCTGAAGTCCATGCTTTCTAGGCTTGATCAAAACGCCCAATTTGTTTGCAACAGGTCTAAATGGTCCATCCGGGCGGTCGGACCAGCCATGTAAAGGGAGGCGTCTTCAAAAGACTCGCATTGTTTGATATCTTTACATGATTAGACTTAGGCCCAGTTATAGAATGTATATTCTATTGTTCCCAACAGCGATCAGATGTTGGGTTACAATCTCTCTTAGCAGGGTCGAGTGGCGGTGTTTTTTTGGAGAAATTTTCAAAATGCAAGGGGGGGGGGGCGCGATCCGGAACGGGGTACGCAATCCGGAACGCGGGGAGGGGGTAGGGGGGGGGGGGCGGTGTTTTTTGTGAAAAAGAAAAGGAAAATGTAAGCGTGGGGGAAGGGTGGCGCGATCCTACGCAATCCGGAACGGGTGGGGGGGAAAGACGCAGTCCGAAACGCGCGGGGGCACGATCCGGAACGGGTTCCGGAACGGGGGGAGAGGGTAGGGGGGTGGCGGTGCTTTTTGTGAGAACTCTGGAAAATGTAAGGGTATTAGGGGGGGGGGGGGTGGGCGCGATCCGGAACGGGGTACGCAATCCGGAACGTGGGGAAAGGGTAGGGGGGTGGCGGTGTTTCTGGCGAGAACTTTGGAAAATGTAAGGGTGGGGGAGGGGGGGGCGGCGATCCGGAAACGGGGTACGCAATCTGGAACGCGGGGGGGCACGATCCGGAACGGCGTACGCAATCCGGGGGAGGGGGTAGGGGGGTGGCGGTGCTTTTTGTGAGAACGCTGGAAAATGTGAGGGGGAGGCGCGATCCGGAACGGGGTACTAGCCATGCGCATTCTGGAACAGGTGGGTTGAGGCGGGGGTGTGGGGCTGCTTTTTTAAGATGTTTTGGAAAATGTAAAGGCGTTGAATATGTAAGTGCGGGTGGGGAGGGGGGCAGCACGGAACAAGGGATTCAGGGTGGGGGGGGGGGGAGTGGCGCTGTACGAGATCCCCTGAAAAGATTGGCTATATTGTACAAATTCTGGGGTGCTATTCGATTGTACACATCAACACGTCATGATTTCGGCGGCTAACCCAGGTAGAGCATGCCCAGGCCCCCGAATTGCGCTGTCTTGGTTGCTGGCATTTCGTGAATCATTTCTGGTAATCGCTGCTACTCTCCGCCTGCTGCAAACTGTGCGAGGCCTGCAACACGGCACGGGGGGAGGCAAACATCAACCTTTAAGTTTCTACCTGTTGCCCGTCAAAATCTTAAGGGTTTTCGTTTGCCCCAACTCTCGTGTGTGTACGCTCACCAGCGATGTTTGGAGCCAGCAAAGATTCGCAAGCATAATAGCTGAGTCTGAGTAATCTTGCTTTCTATGGGAAAACCAACAAGACACACAACTTGTGGGGCTGCTTGTGGCGACAACCTGACGTGCTCAGACAAATTTCGGGGTCGGAAGGCGGCAGCCCAAATCTTGCTTATAGGCCTCTGTGCTTTTGTGGATACGGGTATGAATCTTAATCTGCGGTTGTTCAATTTGTGGGGCAACTTTTGGCACCACAATGATTTCAAGACTCATTGATCCATTGTTCTTCACCATTGTGTTGACATGCTGTAGTTTAAAGAATCTTTGGCGAAGGTGTTAACCACCAATGTTGCAACATTTCTGGTTTTCAACATTGTTGCTTCAACATATCCTAACCCATGGAAACTTGTCACCATTCACGTCTGGGTACCGGGCCCCGGTATGGTCTGACCGGGCCCGAATGTGGTTTTCCGTTGAACAGTAGGCAGTAGATGATGTACACCCACACCAACAAAATCGGGAGAATGAACAATCCTCACTCCCGAAAGGCGGAGCTCACCGTTCTTCGATACTGCTCTTTCCGCGAAGAAGCCAAGCTCATCACTCTGTTTCCTCCACATATCTTGTGTTGTAGCTGGTGTTGTGGAAGAAGCCTCCAAACCGAGTCTTCCCATTAGCGCGCTAACTTGATCCCTCTCTCTATCTGTTCTCTGCATCTCAGCCAAATGTACTGCAGTGGAGTTCATTGGATTCATGCCAAGAACAACAATCAACAAGCGGTAACATTCAGAGCAACACAGCAGTGCGGTAACGACAGGAACTAGGCAGTGAGAAAGTTTTCTATACACATTCGCAACCTAGCACATCGACCAGGTTCTTGTGCAGCGCCTCACAGCACTAACTATTTAATTTATATTCAAATATACAAATATTTAAATACTGAAAAATATATTTAAAGAAATATCTAAGTAGTAAAACCCAGTATCCCAATGCCGCGAGCTCCGCAGCAAAATATCTTGGTGTTGACTGCATTGGCCCATATAGCAGCTCCTCCCTATTCAAACAGTGCCAACAGCGCGTTGGTCTCCTCCCAACAGGCTGAGTGCTGTCCTCGCTTTGGGCTTCTACAAAGATGTGATCTCTGCCGTCCTGCCCAGACCAACTGAAGTTGATGATGCAGGAGTTGCGATCGAGGACGCTGTTCACAGTGTGTCGGCCATGCCATGAGCTTGCTTTATTGCTGATGGAGCTCACCAAGTTCTTCTGGTTCACAAGCAATAGGCCGACTCTCCCAGTGTATGTGTTCTTGTGAACATAGCACAGCGACACCTGCTGCACCTTGTTCACCTCCCCGAAGCGGTGAATTGCGGGCGATATGATCACCACATTTCCTTCACACCCACCAAGCTCAACACGAGGAGCCTCCAGATCATTCGCATCAGCTTCCTTTGCAGCTGAGCAGTCATTCTCCACCAACTCAATGGAACGCAAAGCAGCGGCCAAAGCTCCACTCATTGCAACAAGATGGTTAAGGAGCAAGATGAAACCACTTGTGCTTCAAATAGCTGCGGTGGACATAGAGTGAGCCAGCTGTTTGTTCATGTTACCTCAGGCAATACATGAGTGCAGTGACACCCCTCATGAGAATGTCATTGGCTAGTCAGGCACAACCATGAGTGGCACCGGACAGTCTGATAGGTAATTCAGTAGCAATGAGGGGGTGAGAAGCTGATGATCGCATGTGTGGGCAATGTCGTATCACCGATGTGGTTTCCACAATCAGCCACTGCATTCTACCGCTCACTGTTGCATTGCTCCTCTACACCCATCCAGTGTTCTTTCCTGTCGATCCGCGATGCTGACCTACCAGTGATTGTTGCAGCATTCAATTGCTATGTGTTGCATGCAGCAAGTGAATGTAGGCCAAGTGTGATGCCGTTGAATGATTCGGTGCAAGGCATGCCACACCTCGTAGCTTGGCTCAAGTGTTGTGTGCGCCATTTGCTATCATGACGCTGCGTGCTCCAGCGAGGTCAACTCTCAAAGCACCGAGTTTAAGGACTCCGAGGATTGTAGCACCCAATGCACCAGGAGCTGCCAGCGCATCAAATGTTAGATATCAACCTTCTGGAACGGCAACTACAGTCTCTGAAGAGCACAGCAAGTTACCAGTTGCGGAGACTTATTGGCATGGCAGCCAACACAATCCTGGATCGCGAGACAGGTGCAGAATTGATTCGCAAAGTACCGCCAACTGGCCAGTCTCTATCTTCAGCAGGAATGAGTTGGGAGGGAGGGAGGGAGGGAGGGAGGGAGGAAGAAAGGGAAGGGAGGGAGGGAGGGAGGGAGAGGGGGGGAGGGGGGGAGGGAGGGAGAGGGAGGGAGAGGGAGGGAATTCAGATTTTTTAGGCTGTGCAAGGGGAAGAATTTGCCACAGCCTTTCTGTGTCCGATTGTTGATGTGTTTATCGCACAATTGACAAGTGTGACGCATTAGCGCAGAGCCTCCTAACGTATTTCGGCAAAGATCTTGCCCCGCGTACCACCTACCCATACCTACCCCACTCAAACTAGCAAAAAACGCGTTTCCGCTGTTCCTTGGAAATGTGTGATTTCCGCTCTTAACTGTCAGCTTCATGCGCCAGGCGCATTGCTGCAAGCGCTACCCATTTTAAAGCAAAAGGGCGCTGAGTTTAGTGGCAACTTCCTTGGCTAGGTTATGGTGTAGCTGTTGGGTTGCAATGCTGGGTTAATTTGCTTCCCTTTGAGTCACTGGTAAAATGCAAAATGTATCCTAAGCCTACCCCAGTTTCCAGCTTGTTCCGGGCTTTCCGGCCGCCACCGCGTGCAGCTGCAGCTGCTGCGGCCGCGCGGGGTGCCTCGGCGCCAGCAGCGCGGTGCAGCCCGCGGAGCCCACGGCAGCGGCCACGCGGCGAAGCCGCGTGGTGGCCGGCAGGCCTCCGCGACGCTTCCGCGCGACAAAATCCGCGCAGAAGCGCGGGGCGACGTCGAAAAAAAACCCTCCGGCTGTGGCGCAACCCTGTGGAAACATGGGTACCAAAACCTGCGGTTTGCCCCTGCTGGTGAATTTTGAGCCACACCCATCTCTGACTGGTCCTCAGCTCATCTGCGGTTGATATTGCAGAGTCATCCATTGAAAATTTAGTGAGTCCCCATGTCCCTCCCAAATGAACCATAGACAACCAAAAATTTGGTCCTCGGGCAGGGTTTTTGAGGGCTCTACTTTTTTCTACTGGTTGACTTCTTAAAGGGTTTCAGCCCCCTTCCCCCCCCAAAAAAAAGAGGAAGCATGGAAGCAACCCGCTGGAGATCTGGCAAATTGCAGACCAATATTTGGGTTCGCACACATGCGGCGAAATGGTTGGTTTCCTTTTGGCTTCCCTTTTTGTTGCAAGAAGGGGGTCCGAACCCCACGTTTCTAGGGGCACCTTCCCCATTCTTTCCAGAGATTCTTCTAGAACTACCGAAACCCAGGAAAAATGTGTCTTTTAAGAAGAGTGTTTCTTTTTTAATAACGAATGCAAGAAGGCATCTCCGGAAAAAAAAAAAAGAAAAATAGCCGGGTTTTCAACGCGACTGGAAAATGGATTCCTACCAAATTCTCGACATTCTCCGCCGCCCCATCGCGCGCGCAGCCCCGCGCCGCGCCCCGCGCCTTCGTCGCGGTCGCTGCCCAGTCGCCACGCGGCGGAGTTCTCCGAGGGCCGGCAGAGCGGCGCGGCGAGGCGCAGCTCACCCGGCGGCAGCAAACCCCAGAGCTGCGCGGCCTCAGTCGAGGCGCCAGGCGCGAGTCAGGCGGTGGCGCGGTGCCCTGGTGCCGTGTTTTTTTTGGTTTGCGCCTCCGCGCCGTGGTGCGGAGGTAGTGCCGTGGTGATCCGTGGTGCCGTAGTTTTTTTGGGGTTCCAAGGGGAAGTGCCCTGGCTTTTGTGGTGGTCGTGTACTCTTGTTTTGGGGCGGTTTGAAAGGGGAAACAAAACAAAATATAGATTTAGTTTGGGTACACCATTTGGAGATCCACACTCCCTGACCATGGGCATGTTTTCCTCAACGCTTATGGTCTAGAGTCCTTTTCAGGGGTTCATGGCCCCTACCAAGCCTAAGTTAGGTGCTTCGAGCATGGCATGAGCAACAGACAATACCAGCCACCGGGACATCCGGCCCGTTTCAACCAAAAACTAAATTCCCAAAAAAAGTCCAAACTGTTCATTTACCCACGAAACGGGCTCAAACCCAAGAAGTATAAAGTCCAAACACTCAGGAAATGAGGAGGTGGTTGGGATTCGCTCTTTTGAGGCAGGCCATCCTACTGGTCCACTGCAATCACCAAAACCAAAGGGGAGTGAGACCAACGTGAGTTGGTGAAGCGGGGGCCTCGAGCAGCTTTCTTGGTACTTACCCTCCTAGGTGCTCCAGTAGAGAGGTTAGAATAAGTTGGTACCCGATGTTTGTTGTTTTTGCTCTTTTTCGGTTTTGTCTATTTTAGTAGGGGAACCCCACCCCAAAAAAGTTGGTAAAAGTTGGCACTACGGGGAACCTAGCCTTCGTATAACATTGGTGATCCCTTTTTGTACCAAGATCCGTAACCAAATCGCCACAGAGTATTGAGTGAGACTCAACCCCCACGCAAGCGGCGATTCGTTGGTAGCTCTTTGGCTCCAGAAACCGAGGCTGAAGCGGCGCGGCCGGTCGCAGGCCGTTCTGCAAGAGCCTCTTGAAAACGTGACCATCTCGACTCCGGACGTTCTGGCCAAGCTTGCACAAGATCAAGAGATCGGCTTTGTGCGTGAAGGGGCAAGAGAGCAGCGCCCAAAACCTTGACGTTTGGTTCTGAGATGCGTAAGTCGGTTTGTGCTGGCCTTGTTCTCATTCCCGGTGTTTTTGGGCACTGCTCAAGTGAGTTGTGGTGCAGGCACCTTGGCGGTGCAAGCACTACGAAGTTCGCACCCCCAGTTCTGAGACCCGCAGACCCGAGACCTCCCAGCAGAAATGTCCAGTGGCTAGCTGATCTTAAAGAGTCTCACCCCCTGCAAAAAGGCGACATGTCGTTTATGGCAAGGACCCCCTCCACAAAACTTGTTGGTGCGATAGGCATGGAACGAGAAATGGAATGACCCTTCATCCAGTTGGGTGGCTTCCTTTATTCGGGACTCCCCAAAACCAGTTCACTCAACGACATTCCCCACCCGTCGCATCAGGAACAAAATGAACCAAAACAACCACATTTCGCTGGCCTGGGGCACCCAAACAAACACGACCACCCAAGCATTTCGCTGGCCTTGGGGCGCCAAGCCCTGCGCTCAGAGCTTGCTGTGGGCCTTTGGGTTGAAGGCCTGCAGGAAGCCTCGGAACGACTCTGCCGGGTGGGATTCGGGTTCTTGGGTTGGCAACTCAGATGCCCAGCGGCCTCGGCATGGCATGTTTTTTGGATGGTTGAGGTTCAAGGGGAACCCTTCCCCTCAAAAAAAAGTCGGAAAAAGGGGCGGAATCCACTGGGCAGCTGGGACAAGACTTTTGCAACGTCCGGCCGGTGCGGTGTCTAGGCGGTTGCCCCACCCCCCATCTGTTTCCCGGGAGGTGGCAAACTGAACTTAAAAACACAGCGTCAAGGTGGATGGCGCCTTGGGAAAATTGGCCAGAAATCTGTTTGGTGTTGAATTCACACACAACGAGAAGGCTTCTGTGCTGAATGAATTCAAAGGGAACGCCTCCACAAATGATTCCCCCCCATGTTCAGACAATTATTGGTACCACTATAAAGCTTTGTCGGTTGCATTTGAAGAGAAACCTACCAACAAGTGAGGATCCACAAATGTTGGTGTCTCGCGAAATTCAGGGAATTCACTCAGACATGCAAAAAACAAAACGCCCCCCAACTCATCAAACAATAGTTGGCACTTCAAAATGTTGGTTGACCTGAAAGAGAAACCAATCCAAGTGTATATCCCGGAAGGCATTGGGTCGACCCCATCTGGGCAAGTAAGGCAACCCTCAAACACCGAGCCAACTGAGAGACAGCGCTGGTTGACAGGCACATGAAGGACACCCAAAGGGCGACCAAAAGGACGGACTCCCTATATCTAACCAATTCCCAACACATCGCCCAGGAAAATCACGACTGAAACTGGCCCAACCAGTGACGGGTAAAACAACTTAACACGAAGGGGCTACCTGAACGGTTTTCCTCTTGGCTTACCTTTAAAAACGACAAACAACAATGGCCCGCCGAAAAAAGACACACCCAAACAATTCAAGAACCCCCCAACAAGGACACCCCCCCAAAAAAAAGGGGGAACCTTGAGTCACACCGAGTCTGGCTGGGTCCCGTTTGGGTTTCTCGTCCGAAGCGGCCGTCCCCCACGTAGAAGTTGTGCTCGGTCGGGGACTCTCGGAAGACCACGAAGCAATGATGCTGCTCAAAGCCCAGCTCGTCCGCCAACGTCTTCGCGATACCTGGGAACTTGGATCCGTCGTGTTTTGGTTTCTTTTGCAGGGGACGGCAAAAAAAAAAAAACAGCCTGGAGTCTCCTTCCGACCCTTAAAAAATGGTTGGTCATTACCCAAAATAATGGGGTTGTGAACCCATTTTTAAAGGGTCATGGGGACTCCAGGAATGCAGAAATCAGCAAACAAAGAAATGACATGTGGTTTTCCTCAAGGTCTTCCATTACAAAAACCGCCAAACGAAGGGTACCCTCAAGAAAAGACACACCTGTTCTGGTCATTGATTTTGAGGGGGCGAGATAAAACTTGAGAGTACCCCTTTTTGGGTTGGCTGAAAAGAAAACCAAGAGGACAACCAGCATTTTCGGGTTCCCCCTATGTTGACACATACCCACCGTTGCCCACCTTGACAAATTCAGAAACTGGTGTTCAAAATGAACGGGCCAATGTAAGAAACAAACCCCAGGAAAATTTAGCCAGGACAACAACCAAGCATGGTGGGTGTTTTGCTGAGTTTCCGCGTTTTCCTGGATAGGAATCCTGCTTGCTTGGGTGACAGAATCTTATTGTGGAAAAAAACAAACATCATTTGCTGGGTGCGACAGAACTGGACACATGAAAGGAGTCCTTTGGCCGGTCTCCCTTTGAACCTCAAAAGCATGCACGTTCAACTCTCCTGCTGCACGCAAGCAGCTGTTTTTTTCTCCGGGGACATCGGAACTACAGAGGTTGGTTGATAAACAACCACATTTCTTGCCTAGTCAAAGGCTACATGTTTACGCCCCTGGTGTGAACCCCTAGTTTATGGGAAGTTTTAGCCGCTAGACTTGGCTTAATTATGGGAAATCAGCCTCCCTTTTGGGGTCCAGAATGGATTTTCATGGGTTCATGAATGGACCAAAACCCAATCAGCCTTTGACCTAAGTAAGGGGGTTGAACACTAAGATACACCAAAAGACGCATATGAGCAGCGCTCCAAACCCGTTGACGTCTCGTTCTAAGATGCTTGTACAGGTTCATTAAAACTCACCATAAAACCAGGTACTCACCTGCCAGGTGCTCATCTGGGAAACCCAAAAGCTCTGGTCGATTCTCGTTCACCAACTCAGAGTAGAACCTTCGAAGCGGCTTTGGCCCTACCCCCATTCTTCAGCGAGCAGCACTTGGCAAAGGCCTCTTTTCGCCACTTCTCCCGACCCGGCCTCCAGGGTTGCGTCGGAGATCAAACTGGGCTCGACATTTTGTGTGCTGGGCCTTCCAGCTGGCATAGACTCCTTTTTTTGGTCAACAACCTGACCTTCAAGTATTGGAAAATGAGGCGCCGGGGTGGCATTGGACAAACTTCAATCCAGCTCTTGGTGTCCTATTGAACATGCGGCCTACGTGATTCGATGTGCTGATTCTCGAATAATTCCTAAATATGAACAACACGGCAAATAATTGAAGGACCTGCCAAAATTGTGGGCCGGGTTTGAGCTCGCTTTACACCCTTTGCAAAGCCCCTGTAAGAGCAGTCCCGCCCACAACCGCACCCAGAGAAGTACCGAACGTGCAAAAACGCTCAATCTGGCGCAACACCCAAACCACAATTAGTTGAACAGTCCGGAGAACAACCTGGAGCCTCACTCCGACCCTTCGACCATTTTGGGGTCGAGACTCCAGAAAGACGAATCGAAACGGAACTCTCATGCGGGCGCAGCGCACCTTTGGTCCACCTTCACCACGGGGCATCCGTCTCCGGGTTTGCCCACCACCTCCAGCACCGTCACGTAGTCGTGGTGCGCCTACAAACCAAAAAGCGTCGGAGTCAACTTCTGACTGATACACACGGGGTCCACCCGTTTTAAGTACTACAGTCCTGACGACATGAAACCTGGGGCCACAAGGTGATGCTTGAAGCTGCAAAGAGGAAAATTGGACTTTTCTGGTTGGTTGCATCATGTACCTGAAGTCTCCTTCTGACCCTTTAAAGATGGGGTCATGACTCAAGATGTGTAGATGGCCAAATTGTTGAAGGGTCAGAAGGAGACCTAGGTCCGGGCATGGTGAAAATACCCCATTTCCCACATGGTCTGGGTGTGGCGGGAGTGGAAGAGGATTGGAATCCTCTTTGGCCGCTGGACTGGGTGGTTTCCACTAAAAAGATGCTTTGGCCAAAGTGGCACCTTGGTATATGAAAACAAAGACTAAACCCTGCTTGATCCCAGCCGTTTAACTTTGAGCCACACCCATTTCTTGGGTTTCAATGCACAGCCAACAGGGTAAGAAGCCTCTGAACCTAGTGTGGCTAAGCCTCGTTGCCATGGAAAGGACCGCAGGGTCTTCTTGGTTCTACCAACATAATCAACAAAGCGGGATTTATCAATCCAGTGGATCATCCAGATCTTGGTTGACGTTGGAAGGGGAGCAAAAACTTAAATTTTAGCAGTTAAGTGGGGATTTCCCACTAAACTACAATCAGTAAAAATGTAAAAAAGTCCTTGTGGTTCTACCATGGGATTTATCAACCTAGTGGATCATCCAGATCATCCCGGGGCTAACATCCCCCAAGAGACCCTGAGACCTTGAGACCTTATTGGAGGCTAAAACCATGTCTTGCGCCTTGTCTGCGGACAGGTTGTCCAGCACATGTTGTTTGCAGGCCAGACGAATCCGCTCCAGAGCCGCATCGTCCCCCATGTTTTTCGGGACCTGGATCTCGACGATCGGCATTGCTGCAAGTCTATGGCTATGGGTTTCGGTGCACAAACGGGCATCAGCTCCATCCGGATTTATCGCAACCGTTTGGGAGGCGATTCCCAGCAAACTGAGCTTCTCTACAAGCCAGTCCTGTGAGCCAAGCTGCGGAAAGCACTGCCCTGCGCCTCTCTCTGGCCATCTCTCTGTCTCGGGCGCAGCGTCGAGCTTAGGACTCGGAAATGAACAAAGCAAGGCTTGACCACACCAAACCCCGGCAGACATATGACGATGAAGCCTCATGTCGCGCTTTCTGACTCCCCCCTCCATTCACTTCCTATCTGTGGTTTTGCCCTTTTTCGGGGTGTGCCCTTTAGATGTATGTGGTCTTCGGGGAATCAACTAGGCATCACAAGAGGTTGAGGCCATTGAAAGTCTTAGTTTGTTTGACCCGCTTCAGACATGCTCTGGCACCAGCATTAAGTTGCTCCAGCCGCGTACATCGGACGGCCATTTCCCTCTGGTGACCGGCATCAAGTTGCAAAAGCCCATGCTGTTCACCAAAAGCCCAACGTTGGGGCCGCCTCCGAGTGAAAGACTTCCATCGACAACCCTCGACTCAGCCGTCTCGATCGTGGAAACTCCAGCTCTGGCCATGTCCAGGCTCTCGCTCGCGCGCAGCATGCTGCTCCAACGGCGCTCAATGACAGGGCTCCAAGCCCGTCCCAGGCTTGGTTTGGGAGATTCAAGCTAGACATGGTGCTAGGTTCACCATGCTGTTCCATGGCGATAACCCACCAAGAAGCTGCAGCTTGAGCATCCAAACGCAAAAAAGAACCAAGGTGAACCAGGGTCACATTCTCCCGGCTGGGCCCAAAATTGGCATTCATCCAACTCCAAAAGAAAACAACAACGCTCCTTTTAGTACAGCCACAGCACAACCTTAAACGTGGCTTCCAGCTTGGATTGGCCAACAAAACTCCAAACCGGTGTGGTTCACCGCTGAAATGCCCACATACATATCAAGCCTAGCCCGGCCAAGGGGCATATACCTCTCGAAAAACGGGCGCCGGCCGAGCGCCACCGTCCGCCGGCAGCGCCAGCAATGCGCCGGAAGCGCCAGGGGCAAAGGCTCCTGAGATAGATTCCCTTTAAAACCAACAGGGGTAAATAACAAATAGTCTTAAGCAAATGGAAGAACATGTGATATTGAAACAGCCAAACTGCGCCACCTGAAGCACCTGTACAAGGCTATTGGGTCCGGTTTCTGGCAATGTGGAGCCTGCCAGTTTTGGTCACATCGCGGTTGGCTCAAAATAGCCCCCCTCCCGCCCCATTTGGGATTTGGCGGCTTCCCCTCACATCCTGAGTTGATGGACCAAACAAGTCCAAACTTTATGTTCACGAAAATGGTCCGGCAAAAAGATGACACAGCCATAAGCACTAGGTCCAAGTCCTAAAGCAAGCAACACATCTAGAGAAGAATGTCTTGCCGTCCCTTTGTAAGGTCGGTTTGAAAAGGGAGCGAAAAGGAAACCAGACATTTTTTTTTGTATTAAGGGATGTTAAGACACGCCCCCTAACATGTTAAGAACATTTTGGATAAGCACACAAGTGAACAAAAGTAAATCACCCAATCCCGATTCAGACCGTCATGGGAATGGCTCAATTAAATACACTGCCCTCCCCCCCCGGGTTTAACGAGCTGCTGTTAGTCTGCCATTCAGTTAAGTCCCCTGGAAAAAATAGCTCCTAGACTTACAACCAACAGGGGACACTAAACACTTGGAGTTGGACCCTCCAAGAAGGCTTCGGTTCTCCTTGCAGTGTGCCGTTGAAAATCACACACACACACAAAAAAAAAAGGACACGCCAAAAGATGAGTTTAAGCACATGGAAGTGGCAAGTACTCCTTCCCTTCTCCGGCGAATGCCTCTCGTCCCGGTGACGTTTTTTGTATCGCAACCTTGAGGCGCTCAAAGTTAGAAAATCGAGCTCCCTGGTTGGCCAGGGATTGGGCTCGAGCGGATGTTTTCGGTACCCAACATATACCTGGACCCTCAAAAAGGAACAAATGGTTGCTTATTTCGATTTAAGGAAAGTGTTGGGAAATTGTTCTGAAAGAAGTTCTAAGTATGCATCCAATAGGGAAACCATAGCATACGATAAGAAAGCCCATAGGGAACATAGGATATCAACAATAGAAAGGATGCAGAAAGTCTGAAAGGAGTTCGATGGCCCGCGAGCTAGGTGATTACCAACCCCCAGCTCTTCCCAGCGAATGCTGAGTGCATTGGCCAAGTCTGAACTCTTTGGTTGCCACTAACGGCCTTCTCAGAAAGTAGAAGCTCAACCGGTTCAAGGAGTACGCTAAACAATCAGCTAAGTATGTCCCAGGTTCACCGCTCAGGGACGTCAACCAACAACCCTATCCAGGAGATTTGCCGCAACTAGATGCCAAGCTGGTGATGCTGAAACCCACCAAAAGGGGGGAATTCCCGGGGTCCCTTACCCTTGTGCACTGCTGGTGATGCTTAAAACCACCAAAAAGGGGGGAAATTCCTGCAGATCCCTGTTTCACTCCTGGCATCTGTGGAAATCGGGGCGTGAAGTTGTACTTCTCCCGTATCCAGGCACGCACAGCCGACATAGATGCCTGGCTCTGCGAGTCCGTCAACATTTAAAAGCGGCTGCGCCCAAACAGATCCACCCGGAAAAAAATCGGAGCATGGAACATGTTCCCGGAATTGGTCCAAGTGACTGAGAATTGGATCCAACAACTGACCATGGAGTCTCCTGAGCCCTTAAACATGGTGGCATCTACCCAAGATAACGGGGTCGCCCAAGTTTCCAAGACTGACCTCCAAGAGGTGGACAATGCGCATGAACAAATGGTCCTGAAAAGTACACGCCTCAAGGCGGGAATGAGCTCAACAGAGCCCAGGGAAACACGACTCGCCACGAACTTCTGGGAGTCGGTTGACACATCCAGATCTGAGCAAGTTGCGAAACCTCTTGTTTAGGGACGGGACATCGGGTAGCGGGCATCGTCTTTTTTGTAACCCTGTCGTTTCTGCAGACTTTTGGCACATTCACTGCCGTCGAACCCAAAAGCCAGGATGGGGTGTGCCAAACGATTCTACCCCCAAAATCGTTTGTTTGCTGCTGTTTTCTGGATCGACGGTTCAAAACGATTCGTGTTGGCCACTCCCATTTTCCATAGATCCGATTCCTATTGGGAACTACTACAAAGGGGCGAGCCCGTGCTTAACCCCAAAAGAGCATTCAGGATTACCTTGGCCCTGGTTTTACTTTCAAACCAACCCCGATACCAACTCCAGAGTCTCGCCGCGCGGACATGAGCAAGTTTGCATGCGCGAGCTTGCGAAGCTAGGCAACAAGTCAGGATTTTCCATCTGGAGCGACGGGTCGGCCATTGGGCCCTAAAGCAGAGGAGTTCTCGCGGCAAGAGATCCACCCAGTTCTCCCTCGTCCGTTGGTACTTTCTATGGGTGTACTTTGACCCAGTTTGCCTCCAAGGGACCCTTATCCCACACGCAAACCTGATCACCGATCGACCTCCCATCGGGTCCAAGCCGTTTGTTTGGGCGGCTCCTGAAAACCCACTTCGTACCTACATCTGCTGGTTGCTTCTAGTTGCATCTGCAACAACCCGGATCATTCTGCCAAGAATCGTAGCAGCCGCATCTCAGATGGTGTGTGCACCAGAGCACCTAAACCTAGACACAGCAGATTTCGACCCTCACATAGATACAAGCGTCCTGACGAACCTGGCAACCAACATCCGCCATCGAAATGAACAGATCTAGGTCCCGAGAACGGATCATGATCGATTGATTGGTTCTCAACATCATTTGGGACTGGCCAGCAAACCGGCGGCTGAATTCCTTTTGCCTTTCAAACCATCCACGGGGGCTCCATTTTGAGGCAGACCCACTTGGGTTACAAAACCACAAACTACTTTGAGTCATGCTGGTGGTCCCTGGACCCTTTGGACGCCCCATATCCGATGATTAAGGGAATTTCGAGGGTTCAGGTAAATAGCTTCACGTGGTTTATGTGCAGGTGTCATCTAGTTTCTCGTTTTTGCGCACATCACGTCAAGGATCCTTAGGTGGATGAAGTACCGGGCACTTACCACGGCACCGTTGGTTGTCTCTTTAATTACGCCGCCCCACCGCGAAATTTGGCCATGGGTCAAAAGCCCATACCCCACCTAAAATAGGTTCTAAAATGGGTGGTGCTACCCCAAAATCGGATCCCATTGGTTTTGACCCACAACCATTCGGGTATGGCTCAAAATTAAAGGGACGGTGTTAAACGGTTACGCGGGTTTTAGTCTTTTTTATTTGCCCAGGCGCCATTTTGGCACCACTTCTTTGAGCCACCCATATCTTTGTGTCTACCCAAGGACTAGGTGCGACCAGCCATTCTCGTTTCTCGCGCCAAGCGGATCCAACGAGCGGCGCTCGAGCCGGGGCCTCCTTGGACTTATAAAGCACCAGCCCATTCCCGAGCTCCGCCAGCACCGTGACCCCCGCCATTCGATCGCCGATCGCCGATCCCCGCGCGAACCGCGGAACCACGAGTCGCTGCGAGAAAGGGGTCCCGGAAATTCAACGCCCGCCTTATGGAGCTAAACCTCTGCCTTGGATGAGTCGGCGGTAAGGGGACAAGGAGAAACACCTCACCTTGTCATACAATTCTCTTTAGGAACCATTACCCTAGTGTTCACCCCCCAATTAAAAAAAAAGGTTGATCCAACTTGGATGACAATCCTTAGAAAAAGAATGGTGGCTACATGAGCCCAACCATGGCTTTAATGGTGGCCTGCCTGAACAGGCTGGTAAAAAACCTGGATCCTTTCGTGCTTTTCTTGCCCTTGCTTTTGCTGTTTCAGGCTGTGATTGTGTCGAGTTCCAGTTGTTAGCTGGGCTGGGGGGAGGGGCGGGGTGGGGGAGGGGAGTGGGGGAGGCCTGTTACCGTCGCTATGAAAGGCTTGTACGCACACGAAC